CGTCTCAAAAAAAAAAAAAAAAAAAAAAAAGAAATCACTATCTTGGGGTCACAAAATATTCTTTTATATTCTCTCCTAGAGATTTAAAAGTGTTTGCCTCCATGCCATGAAGCAAACCACACTTTCTCTCCTTCCCTTCTTGCACCTGCAGTGTTACTTCTGCCCACGTCTGTATGGGTCTGCTTTCTGGCTCCCTACTTTGTTTCATTGGTTTTACCTATCCATGTGCCAATGTCACATCCTTGTAATGAGATATATTTACAAGAATTTAAATTTTGCTTAAAACCTTACCTTTATAAGATATTTTACATTTCAGAATTTTAAATTCATAAGAGTTTCCTTCCTTTCGTTCATAAAAAGGGTCTAGGTTATTTTTGGCCCTTTATGCCCACATTTCAGAATCAGCTTATCAGGTATGAAGAAAATCCTTCTTGGGATTTTAATTGGAATTGCTAGAATCTGTAAATAACTTTGGAAGAAACTGCCATCTTTACAATATTGAATTACTCTCTTTCTTGAATCTTTCTCTGTTCTTGAAACACAGAGAATGGGAAATTGTGTGTGTCGTGTACAAAAAAAAAAGGAACAAGATATATATGAACATCCTTACAGCCAATGAATGAAAAGCTGATCCAGAACGCTAGACAACATTTTTCAGCGTGGGATCACTGTTTCATATAATACTGTGAAAAAGCTTTTTCTTCTTCTTCTTCTTTTTTTTTTTCCACACTAGAGATTCACATCACAATTTAATGTTCGCATTTCCTCTTGAGACTCTTACTGAATTAATATGTCTCTGGCTAGACATTACAGATTTTTGTAGGAATAAGATGGTCTGGCTCAAGATATCATTGGGAAATGAGGTCAGCAAGTGCCAGATTACAATGAATTTTATTAAATCCAATATACTCAGGGGGGATTTTATTCGTTGTTTCTTATCTAGCCTTTTTTCTCACTACTTTGGTTCTCTAATAGAGTGAACTATTGAAGGATTTACAAAAGGAGAAATCCTCCAGGCTACCAGAACTGAAACTCTCCTCTGTTCTCTAGGGGATTTCACTCTAGCGTGCCGCAATAGCCATTTGATTCTGCACTGTAAATACTAGGTTGTCTAAGTGTTCCCAAATCCTTTGTGTTCACTCTTAGCAATTCCCAATCACGAAGACTTAAGTTTCCATTGCTTAACAGGGAAGCTAAGAGACACTCCCTTTTCATTCTTCATCTCTTTTAAATAGACAAGGATGTTAAAAGTCAGAAGTATGTAATATTTATGCCTGAATGTATCATGCTTTTTCTAAGCAACAGTATTTAATCTATTTGCCAAATGATGGCATTTATCTGTTGCGTTTTTGATTTATGGTTCTTTCTTCATCCTTCTAAATTTTCCTATCTCCAATTTTTTTTTTTTTTTTCTTGAAGATAAGCTGAAACTCTTCCCCTGAAGATGTCTGAGGCTGGTTCGCATAGTCCCTAATCCCACTGGAAATCCTTAATGATTTATAAAATTTTTCCCCTACTCAGATTAGCAACAAAATACTCTTAATGCTTCTAAAAATGCCATCATATGAACTAATTTAGATCTTTAGGAGTCAGAGAGATTTATTTACTTCCAATCACTTGAATTAGTGTCAGTGTTTCATGCTTCAATGGCTCTATTAATTTCAGTGCCAGTCTCTTCTTTCGGGTTTAGTAGCTGCTTTGTGGAGGCAAAGGTTCATTCAAATGTAATATATTTGAGGGCAATATATGAATCTTCATGTGTGGCTTTACATCTCATTCATTATAATAGATGCCCTTCTTTTCCCTGTGTGTGATATGTTGTTTCTTTTGATGCATTCAAGCTTTTATCTTTATATTTTTGACTTTCAAGAGTTTGATTACAATGTTGAATTCTTTGTGTTTATTTTAGCTGTTGCATATTTAACATTTTGTACTGGCAAATGTCTTTCATTAAATTTGGGGAAATTTTGGCCACTCTTTCTTCAACAATTTTTTTCTGTCTCTTTTTTTTTCTACTTCTGTTATTTACATGCATGTTGAATCAAATCTCTGTGGATCTACTCACTTGTTAAAGATAATTTTTCCCTTTGTTGTTTACTTTTAATAATTTCTATTGCTCTATTTCAAGTTCCCTACTTTTTCTTCTGTAATTTCTTTCTGGCTGTTAAATTCACCCAGTGAATTTTTTTATTTTTAAAATTATAATTTTCAATTTTCAGTATCTCCATTTGGTTTTAAAAATCTTTTTTT